TGTGGAGGTACTCGTTTGAAGATCAGTTAATGTGGAAAAGAGTGGTAGGTGCCAAATATGAGGCGGAAGATAGTTGGATGACCAAGGATGTGACTTCACCTTATGGGGTCAGTTTATGGAGATCCATAAGAGAATTATGGGAGGAAGTCAAACTCAACTCCAAGGTGAAAGTGGGGAATGGGAACAAGACCAAATTCTGGAAAGATGAATGGCATGAGTCAGGTAATCTGGAACTCCTCTTTCCAGACATATATAACCTAGTTCTCTCACAACAAAGGACCATTGCAGAGATTTGGACAACACAGGGCTGGAATTTCCAGTTCAGAAGACATCTCAATGACTGGGAAGTGATGAGAGTGGCAGAATTTCTCAACATTGTTGGAAACTTCAATGGACTCCAGGCTGAAGAGGATGCATTATGGTGGAAAGGAAGCAGCAAAGGTATATTTAAAGTAGGTGCAGCTTACAGGTTGATGGAGCAACCAAGTCAACAGATTCCTATCTGGCCATGGAGACAAATTTGGAAAGGCAGAATTCCTTATAAAGTCTCATGTTTTATATGGCTGCTAGCTAAGGAAGCAGCTTTGACACAGGATAATGTTATGAAAAGGGGGATAACCTTATGTTCTAGGTGTTTTCTTTGTGGAGAAACATCAGAAACTGTTAACCATCTTTTTCTACACTGCAAATTTACTCAACAATTATGGAGGGTATTCTTAAGTCTCAAAGGCATATCCTAGGCTATGCCTAGGAGAATTACTGAAGCCCTAAAAAGTTGGGAGGAGGCAGGAGTGCTAGCTAAAGACAGAACGAGATGGAGAATTATCCCTGCTTCAATCTGGTGGGCAACCTGGAAAGAGAGAAATTCTAGGTGTTTTGAGAGCATAGAGAATAGTATGCAGAAAGTTAAACTCAGCTGCATTTTGTTGTTATGTTTTTGGTGCAATCAAGTATACTCTAATGAAACTGTCTCTATAATTGATGTTTTAGATTCAATTTAGATTTAGAATAGTGGAGTTTTTGGAGTTCATCTGTATATAAGGTTTAGTACTGCCCATGTACTATTGTGTTATAATACAAAGTTACCAAGTTTCAAAAAAAAAAAGGATAATATGTATAATTTTCTCTGTATAAATACATAAGGCATCATTAACATTGCACTGCCAGGAATAACTACTTCCAGGTACATAAACAAATGTCAAACAGAGGCTACATCTAAATATGGCAGATTAACAAGACAATATATTCAGAGATTACGTGAATGACCCAGAAATTATGTTGAAGATTTTTATTAAAACTACTACCTACTTGCAGATTTTTGTGACTCGGTGGTTTAGAACTTTTAAGGTGAAATTAGTGAAAGCTTCGGTAGCCAACATGCCATGGAAGAAACTATTATTTATTTATTGTGATGAAGCATATTATGGATGGGTTTAAGCCTAGAACAAACTCAAGAGGTTAAAAAGATAATCCTAAATTTACTTTCAAACTATACTACTCAGAAAATGATATATTTCTATCAAAGCCTTACCATCATTGGACAGGCCGATTAGTTCTTCCATTTAAGTTTGAAGAATTGACTAACTTCATCTCAAGTTTCCAGAGGAAAATGGAATAAGAGTTCACTAATTAATGGTACAGTGATCTAGTTTTCTTTTAAACAACATAAAGTCACATATGTTAATATCCCTAAGAAGTTTTGGTATGTGCCCCATGTTTTCAGCAGATCATGTTGAGGTGCTGCAATTAGTAGTAACATAATTGCTAGGTAATGACAACTGAGATCCACAAGTCCAATCTCCCTGGATAAGCTTTTTAGCTCCCAAAACTGTATTCAAAATTTACAATCTGTTCCGAGACAAAATAAATATAGCTAAGTTACGCATGAATTTAAAATATACAAGGATCCAATTCAATTACAAGTTGAGGAAGATGAGATAGTTCAACAGTAGAAACTAAAATTAATTAATTAAGCCTTCACGATTTGTGGAAAGCTGAAAAAGAGCAACAACCAAGCAGGCACAGAAAGACATTTCTATATATCATTTAGAAGTTCCATTGCACAAAGATTTACCTGAACCTCAGTTCGTGCAAGTGCAATAAGTAGCGGCACACCTTCTTCTCATTTGATGGTGATACTATTGCAGCCTGCAGGATTCAATAATAATGAGTTGGATTAATTACAGATTAAGTAAAAACAGAAAGCAAATTGTGCAGTTGCAACGTGACTAAGAAAATAGCATAAAGCAATCGACAGAAACATGAATAAGTGAATTTCATATTCAGTTAGCATGCTGCAAAGCTCAGGATCTAGTGGTTCAAGTTTATATTCAACTCCGTCCAATTTCGACCGGCGTCATGCTGTACATATCCCCTTTCTCAATTATTTTTGAAAATAAAACATAAGAATAATTTGATAATAGACAAGCAATATGCAGTTGATATTGCTGAAGTTACAAAAAAATAATACCAACCAGTTGAAAATCCTTGAGTGCGTATTTGACTTCTAAATTGTAAACGATTAAGCACACAGTAGCATAAACACCTAAAATAACAATGAAAGCACAAGTCTTTGGCAATATTTTCACAATTCGAAACTAACTTAAGAAAATGTAGAGCCAATTTCAATAGCTATTTGTTCCGTCCTGTTTTGTGCTGCCATATTACTCCAATTTGGTGTGAGAAAGCCACAATTAGCCCATAATACAATATTCTCACTGTCCAATTCAGTCGCTTGTGTGTATAGATCAATAGCTTGTGAATACTTGTACCCAGAAATACATTAAAATCGAAAATAGACTTACTATTTAGGAATATGCATAAACGCCGGCTAGTAAAACGAACTATAAAAACTTGCCAAGATTAACACTCCAAGTCTCTTATTAACAATTAACAAAGTGTAAAAGCTCTTATGAACTTACTAATGAGTTGTCTTACCATGTGTAAATAACAACCCTCCACAAAAAATAGTTCAAGAATACAACAACAATTTTGAGAGGACAAAAGATTGCCTTAAAACTGCAACACTACTTGGAGAAATTGAAGATGAAAATCGGTGGAAGAATGTGAAAGTGATGAAAATCAGTAGTTGGAGAAGCTTGAGAAGATGCAACATTGAGGAAATCCGTGTGTCGTCTCCTCTTGAATGTGAAAGTGATGAAGATCAGTGGAAGTATATTTTGGAGAAAAGAACATAGTGAGAGATTGGAGGAGTGATTACGCTGGAGATATCACACGCAGAGTCGTATATTTCTTCATATAAAGCCACTAACTATAAACAATTTTGTACAAAGAAAACATCAAAAGCAAACAGAAAAAAGATGGAGAATACAATGGAATCAAAAACAGATTTCACACAGTAATTTATATGAAGGTTTGCAAAGCGTAAAAGGTGGTAGTGGGTTTTGTCTATTTTGACCACTACATCTGAAATTCTTCAAGTTTAGTACTGTTGGGGTTGTAAATCTCTTCATTTGGGTGTGCTAAAAAATCCAACTTTGAGGTTCTTGATCCTTTTTGATCCGTAGCTATTGTTTTAATGTCAGTTCTTTGGTAATAACTGTATAAGGTTTTAACTTTTAACAAGTTGGATTCATTTGCTGTTCTTGCTAGAGTTGTTTGTTTTAGTGTGTGTGTGTGTGTGTGTGTGTTATAGAGATAGTTTAGTTATGGCTTCATGTAAAAAAGGAAGAATAAAAGATGCAGTTTTTAGGCGTTTAGTATCTCTAGCATTGATAACTGTGTTTGGAATAGTTTTGATTTTGATTCTCTTTAGGACTAATACAATTCATCTTTACGGTATGTTTAGGGCTCATGCTCAGTTTTCAAACTTTCTTCCCAAATTTATCTTAAGGAATCGGAAACACCGGATAAGACACATGAATTTATTTACTTTTTCGTGGTTCTGTCAATATTCATACTGCCATTTTTTCCCTAATTTCAATTCAAGTGACATTCCGACTTCATCAGCCCATATATATAAAAAACTAAATCTAAAAAAAATCAGATGAAAAATTGAAACCAAAACACAATCAAGGAGAAAGCAAGTGAGGATGGCAAATTAAGAAATCGAAGCCAAAAATTGAAGAGAGACCTAGCAAATTACCTGAAAATCGAAGTTGTACTCAGAGAAGATGCAGGGCAGAAACTTTTATCTTCCCCTTCTTCAATGCTTAGATGAGAGCACTGAGATGGAGCGGGTGGATGCCACGCGTAATGAAGCGAGAATATGATAGCATATCTTTTAATGAAATGTTTACGTACATGTTCAGCAAAAAAAATAAAAAATATTTACATTTACATACATTATAATAATAATAATAATAATAATATTGTTGAAATATATTAAAGGTATAAAAAAATTGTCCAACAGATGAAAATTGAAAATGGAAGAATTTCTTTTTTTCACAAATTCCCTCGGTGGTAGAAGGGAAAGATATTTGAGATATTATTCTTTTCATAATCTTTAAACTTTGTTGGATAGTTGTTATATGCATAATGTATTGTATTGTTTTAATGAAAGGAATACTATCGTTCTCCGTTGCTATATAATGTCACACATCTATAATTTGAATGATAAACCTTAAAAAATATTAGGATACAAGGTAGAACTATCATGTAAAGACAAGGTAAAGGATAAAATAAAATTATTAAATAATAAGTAAAAGTAAAATGAGAAAAAAAATATTAAAGTATCAACGTAATCAAACCAAATCGGTCGTTACACATAATGGATCTTTTCGTCATTACCCAAATATAAATTTAAAACGATAAGATACAATAAAATCTAAGTAACAAGCAAAACAACCATTGTATCTAAACTAACAATATAATACAATACAACGAGTAACAACCATTCAAACAAGGTGTAAAATATTTGGCAGCGTTTTAGAGATGACAATAATTCTCTTCTTCCCCCTAATCACTTTACTACTCTCTCTTTTTTTTGGGTGAAAATTATTTACATTCCATAACTTTGATTTAAAAATCAACCTCACCCTCCAATTTTGAAATATAATCAGTTTTCCCTCTTAATTATTCTTGTAATTTCTATTTTATTCTTGATATTTTCGTTCCTCCATCTATGTGACATTTTTTAATATAATATGAAATATGGTATAATTTCTTAAGTACATAATAACTAATTTAATTTTTTATAAGCAAAATATGACAACTAATTTGACCTACAATGCTACAATTTCTTGAATACAAATAGATCATGTCAAGATGTATATAATTCAGATTCATGTGCAATTGTCTTTTGAAAATGTGGCAATGAATACAAAGATATGTATCACTTCATATAATATCCATGAGTGAATATTTTTCCCCAAAAATATATGTAAATAATATCCAACAATTATCATGCAATGTTGGCTAGCTATCTGATTATTTGATATTAACTTACGTGCATCATTTTTTGTTATATGCAATTTCATATCAAAACAAAGTTAAATAAAAAAACAATTGCTCCACTCCCACTTTTCACATATGTACGTATTGTATATCGAAAATATTGAGATCAGTATTTTCATATAACTCATTGATTATCTATGCTGCATTCTCCCTTGCTACGATAGACATCCAATTTAATTATATAAAATTTAACGACGATAAAAGAAGGAGTATATGGATTTCAAGGTGTCAACCTTGGAAATTTCGAAAGAATTAAAGAAATAAAAAGTACTAAATCAAAACGCAAGAGGGGATACATGACTTGTCTATTTCTTATAGATGGACCCAATTCTGATAAAAGGAAAAATAATAGACATAAATGAGATTTAATTTGAACATGGAGGGCGGGTCGATCCTAGAAAAAAGTAAAAGAGAAAAACGTAAGATTAAAACGCCAATGATTTTTCAAAGGATAACTTGCTTAACGCCAATTTTATTTGTTCTCATCAAAAGTTCAAGTAGCCAACTAATCGATCTACTAAAGATTAAATTACAGAATATAAAAATTTTGCAAGACTTATTTTGAGTATATAAATAAAATTTAAGTAAGTCCTTTTAAATTTCATATATTATATATTTTCTGATTTTCTCATTCGATTTTTGGTATTTCATTTAAATTCATGCCGGATAAGACTCATTTGAAGAGAATAGTACTCCCTCATCACAAATCTTTCCATTAATTTCTAGCGCTCAAACCCAAAATCTTTGATTTAAGAAAATAAAACAATCATATCCATCGCAACCACAACACTCATCGGTAACTTTCATAAACTACAAATTATTCGATACGAAGTACAAAATTTGAACCAAGCTCCCGTGATCCATCTCTTTGTCACGTTACTGAATATTAATATTTCACATGTCTTTGTCAAATTAAAACATGTCCCACATAGGTAAAATTATTGAAAACTCATGTACTACTATGACCTTCAAAATAGAGGTAGAGTCGGAAATTAAAAGTGGCGAAAGTATTACTATTTTTAATATAAATATATTAATTTTTTTCTTCAAATAACATAAGCATATCATGAATTTTTTTAATTTTTTTTTTGGTTTCCCACCTGATGTCCGGAGCCCACATTGGAGCTCCGACTAAATTCGAATCACGCACTGCAGGCCCCATTCGGGGGTGGCGCTCTCAACAGGATTTTCTCCATACTCAGGGCTCGAACCCAAGACCTCTGGTTGAGGGTGAAACACTCCCACCAGTGCACCACAATCTATGTTGGTATATCATGAATTATTTACTACATACAAACTACAAAGTTTGAAGTAAAACTCTCTAAAAATTTAAAAAGACAATAATCAACCAAAAAATAATAATTGAGTTGTAACTACTAAAATAAATTGTCAAAAAATTAGAATGGGGGAAAGTGAGAATCAAACTTAGATTAGCCCATTAAATATTTGTCATTGCACCCCAAATTAATTAGTGAAACCACTTATCTTTGTTATTAGATATATATATATATTTCAAAAAAAAGATAAAAATGAATTGGTTATATTATCGATTGAAAAAAATTTATTATAAAAAAGTTATTAACAACTTTGTATTTTAAAAAAATACTAGAGGAATAACATTTTTATTTGATTTTGACTTTAGAGTTTAGACCACTAATATGTTTGAGTTGTCAGAGGCTAAGGTCCAAGGGGCTACCGCAGTAAGTAAGCGTGTTGTGGCATTTTAATATTATTATATCTTTTAATATTATTATACTTTGCAAATGCCATTTGCTTTCTGCCTAATAACACATTAGTTGCGTTACTACCGTTTGGCAGTTGATGACATTTGATGTCATCTTTATTATCATGTGTCAAACGTATAGTGAATGTGTAATGGTACTTGTCCGTTGGGTTTCTTGGTAGAATGAGTAGTGGTCAAGAAACCCAACGGATAAGTACCATTACACATTCACTATACGTTTGACACATGATAATAAAGATGACACCAAATGTAATCAACTGCCAAACGGTAGTAACGCAACTAATGTGTTATTAGGCAGAAAGCAAATGGCAATTTGCAAAGTATAATAATATTAAAAGATATAATAATATTAAAATGCCACAACAATCCCCCACTCATTTTAATATTACAGAAGAGAGTCTATCAGCTGAAGGAAGACTACTATGCATAATGAAGGTATGCTCAGCATTGAACCTCCACTTAGTGAAACAGTAACTTTTACTCCAGTGTCGTAGTGGTCTCAGACTTGAACTATGATTGCTTAAGGGAAATAAAATATCACTGCTCACACATAATAATCATGGTGTTGACATGAGCTTTAAAGCCAGCATGTTATGGCCATGTGCTATCCCGGTTTCATGAGTGCTTTTGAGAATAAGCCAAACTCTCATAGGAAGCGACCTACTTCCACACATCACATAGGTGAAATCTGTCGAGAGTGCTCCTGTAAGCTTAACACTCCACCCATACGGGCTACAGATATTCATTAAGAGTTTTGTCAACTCAACCTTCACAAATCACTACAGGAAACAATGCACTCACATCATAGGGAGGGAATAAAAAGATAGTGCATTTTTCACAACAAGTCATCATATGATTAGTTTTTCCCTTTGAACCTGGTTATAGGATCTCTAGTCCCCAGGTTGGGTTTCCTCATATATGACTCAAGGATTTATAGGCTTCAATCCCATCCCCCTCGATGTG